TTTTCTTTGTCCCGTTCCCTGCGGCATTGGCCCCACCAGATCGACGCCCCATTGAGCGAAGGGTATAGGGGCACTCATCGTTGTCATCGCTTCAGCCGGTTGATGGATCAAGGGACCGTGTTTCTGGCATTGCAAGCACTTTTTTACCATCGCTTTCGCATCTTCTCTCATTGTCGGCCAGAAATAACCTGCTCTTAGAATCCTTGCGACCAAGGCCCCCGATTTACTGTGATCGCTGCAGCAACCTTCATGCATCTCCCTCAGCACGTATCGACCTTCTTCCTTGGTGACACAGCGTAAATGTGGTCCTCCATATGACCGCTTGTAAAGGATACCTCCATGCTCGAAAAACCTCCTGACCACCTTCATAGCCCCTTCTCTCAGTTCCTCCAAGATCGGGGCCCTCCAATCCTCTACCTCTTCGATCTCCGCCACCTCCGTCTCAACTGCACTTTTCTCCAAATGCAATAGAGTGACACTTCTACTCTTACAATCGACCAAACTTTGGGCAACTTTCGACAACAGGTCTGCTCGACCATTCTCTCCTCGAGGAATTTGTATTAGTTCGAACGATTCAAACTCCTCTCTCAGCTTCTTCATCTCATCCACATATTTCTGCATCCTATCCTCCTTGACTTCAAACCCTTCTTGAAAATGCCCAACCACCAGTTGAGAATCGGAATGCACCTGCAATTTTCGAGCTCCTCCTGCTTTGGCTAGGCTCAAGCCCTTAATCACCGCCTCGTACTCAGCTTCATCATTGGATATCTTGAACCCCACTTTAGCTGCAAATTCCAAGTAATCGCCCTTGGGAGAGATAAGGACGATTCCCAATCCTGCCCCACTTCGGGCCACAGATCCATCCACAAACAACTGCCATAGTCCTTCTGACTCCTCCTCGACTTTCGTTCCCTCCTGGATGAAATCAGCCAACACATGTGCCTTTATGGCTCTCCTTGGCTCGTACATCAAAGAATATTCACTCAGCTCGACTGCCCACTTCACCAATCGACCAGAGACTGACGACCGACCGAGTGTTTCTCCCAATGGCATGTTCGTTCGCACCCTCACTTTATGGTTCAAAAAATAAGGTCTTAACTTTCGAGCAGTTACAACCACAGCTAAGGCGCATTTTTCGATCTCCGAATACCTCGTCTCGGCCCCCTGCATCACTCTACTCACATAATAGATAGGCAATTGCGCCGTTCCTTCCTCTCGCAATAGTACCGAACTTACAGCCCTCTCCCCGATAGAAACGTATAGCACCAACTCTTCGCCCTGTATGGGTTTGGCCAATAGGGGGAGGTTGGCCAACACCCCACGTAGCTCCTCAAAAATGCCTTTTGCGCCTCCTCCGTCCATTGGAATTTCGTGCTCTTCTTCAAGGTTTTGAATAATGGGCCACTCTTCTCCGCCACCTTCGATATGAAACGACTCAGCCCCGCGATTTGACCTGCTAAAATTTGCACCTCTTTTACGCTTGTTGGTGACTTCATCTCCATCACAGCTCGAACCTTCTCCGGATTGACTTCAATTCCCCTCTTGGTCACCAGGTAGCCTAAAAATTTTCCCGACCTCACCCCGAAAGAGCACTTAGCCGGATTCAGCTTCATCCCGTATCTCCGCAACGTTAAGAATGTTTCTTTCAAATCTCGCACATGATCCAATTCCTCCTTACTCTTCACCAACATATCATCCACGTATACCTCCATATTCCTTCCCAGCTGCTCCTTAAAAATTTTGTCGACCAACCTCTGGTACGTGGCACCCGCATTCTTTAAACCAAACGGCATGACCACGTAACAATATGTCCCTCGACTCGTCACGAAACTCACCCGCTTCCTATCCTCTCTAGCCAGGGGGATTTGATGATATCCCTGGGATGCATCCATCAGA